ACGGATGCGGGGGGGGGGGGGGGGGGGGGTGACATCACCTGAAAACATCTTGTCGGGAAAACGAGGGATTTTGTTGGCGATTTTAACATTGTCGTCTAATCACATTTGACCTGTCTCAACTCCCCCCCCCCGTCGACACATATTGTCTGCAAAATTTTAATTTTTGTCGGCAAATACAATACCACAAACCATCCCCCCTGCTTAAGCCTCTTCGCGACGACCCTCTCCGCTGGAATTCTGGACGCCCATGCAGTGGGCTGCAGAAATTTCAACACAAACAGTTAAAAGTACGAATCTTTCAACTATATTTTGCGGTTTTTTACAAAAATATGAAAAAATTAAAAATTTAAGATATCGTGTTGTCATGGCAACACTTGAGCGCGAGCCTGCGTTCAGTGTCGGCCATTTGTGAATACTTCATGTTAATTTAATGTTTGGAAAATATTGGCGAGGGGTTAATACTGCATGCATGTATTTCTAGTAGTAAATTAAATTTGCCAGCCGTTTAATTTCTCGAATTAATGAATGCGTGAAAACACAAGGTCTTCTACACATGGGAATTTAGGATAACTTCTATTTGTACTTTGAACAAATACACAACTCAAAGAAAAAGTCTGCATAAGATTTACTGTAGAGCAACGAATATTTAAAAGGTTATGGCTAATTTGAATTTGAAAGTGTGTACATTTGATACACCTGTATAGGTGATATTAATTCGTGAAAGAACTGCATAATTTATCATAAATCATTTTAAATTGTTTAAAAGCGAATTGTTCAAAAGCACGATAAGCACGATAGCAAGGAAGATAATAAGTTATATATGCCGGTTTTCACTTCACGTTTTCAAATTTTATATCGAATTTTATATGGCCTAATATTTAATCTTTCAAAATGGATGTATCAAAAATTGTTTCTGAAAATGCAAGAAATCAACCTCTGGAGGCTAAAAGGACGAAAATGTTGTGGAAAAAGACCCCCATGCAGACCCCCCGAAAAGTTCTGTCTTTTGCAATTCCCCATCACCTAGTTAGGTCCCTTTTCTTAGGTTTCCATATACAAATTCGTAAATTTTCCTGGTTTGGTTTACCAATATAGCATTGACTAACTTATAATCTAGAGAGCTGTACTCAGTGCTGCTTCGTTATGTAACATGTTATTATCTTTTGTGCAGTAATAAAATTTCTTTAAAATAATCCCTGCTGCTCTGTATAACATTGGTTTGCTATGTTTGGGATTAACTTTAAAATCTTATTAACCACGTATCTGAAGGCTGCTCACCAGAGTCTAGCACCAGAGCCTAAGCTTTTAAGCCTATAGGTCACACTATAGTTTAATAAGATCATATAACTCAAAATTAACATGCATTGCTTCAGAAGCTCAGGATGAACCGACCCTGTGGAATAAGTCACCTGCGACAACACGCCATGCCGAGTCCGTTTCAAGTTTTAAAATGTCTTTAATTAAAGACATAGTATATTCCTTATGGGATGAAACACACTCCGAATATTAATAGAATATTAACACCTCGAGCTATTTACGCTAAAAATTTGAAAATCCATGCATAGAAGGTCATAGAATGGAAATTTTGGTTGTGAGGCCGTCCCGAGCGGTAACTGGTTGGGGGGGGGGGGGGGTTAACGTCGACGTTTTAAAACGGCCCAAACTGATTTTTCCAAACACCTGTTTTACATAATCACACCTTTTTCGACCTCAATTTTCCAGAAAAATTCCTTAATATTTAACACGTTCCGCAATTCCAGCATTCCAGGGTGGGGGGGTGTTACACCCCCTCCACACACCCCAGTAGTTCCGGCCCTGATCTTTGCATGCATGGTAATCGATAATTCTATCGAATTAATTACTACATTAGTAGGGCTACGTGTTTTAATTTTGGATATGATGTGAATATATGTGTAGCGTGCGTAATGTTAATCAGGATGTAGCTTCTTTCGAGGTGTGTGCGCACGTCATGTTACGTAAATTGGACATTAATCGTAAGATAACTTTCACGCGGACTTTCCATGTTGTGAATACGTTGAACAAAGGCTACAAAGCAGCAGAGACAAAGTACTCGATACGTTTACATGTGGCTTTCGTGACCTACACATCTGTTAAGAGCGTAAGTATGAAATTATCGCGTGCATACACTGTCACGATATATAGAACCATTTTGTTAAGAATTTCACTGAACAATGAAACGAAAGAGAAAGCTAAGCACTTTCCCGAAGCATGGCCGTGGATTTTAGTATTGAAGCGGTGGCTCTTTGCACACTGTTCCACTCCAGATTTCAGTTTGATGGTGTGGGGAGACCAGATCTCAGTATCATCATCGCAAAGGGAAATATAAAAGCGACTGCGAGCAGGCTAAGATCTCAGCATATATATACTAAAACTGTCTGTACCAGTGTAGGTAGTACCAATGTGAAAATGCTGTGCCGAGTGGTTATATTACTACCTTAAAAAATAAGCAGAATCTTTCTGCTTATTTTTTAAGGTAGTAATATAACCACTCAGCACAGTAAGATCTCAGCAGCGTAGCTAAGAATACCTAGACCATAAATTAAGCAAGGACAGATGTGTAACTTCAGTAAAAAAGTTGTCCCATGGTCGCCATCTTCCTAGCAAGTGTCGCTCGCGTGATTATTCGTCATTTGGTAGTACGTCATTGCCTTCAAAAATGTTTTCAACACCTTTTCTACAACTTTAATTGCTTTTAACAACTTTAAACATTCAAAAACTGATGCTCTTGATTGTTTAATCCATAAATTTCGATCCAGAAAAGCCGCCATAAAATGCAAAAGTTCATGTTTTCCAGGACGCCATCTTCCTAGCAAGTGTCATGGCGTGAGCATGACGTGTACATCTAGGGAAATTTGAGGACACGAATTCCTATTAAGTTATACACATCTGGTATATACTGATGGGATGTAACGAGTGCCATGAGATACAGAGAAAAAATATAATAATAATAGTAATATTTTATTTCCAAATATGTTTACAATACATTTCGTAAGTTATATATATTTATGTACTAGTTTACATTATACATATTTGAACAGAGGACCATAATAAACCAAAAGGCTTTTGCGAGTATAGTCCCCCGTGACAAAGTATTTAACACTAAAATTAATAAGTTCTCTATCAGGTAATTTTTCGTCAGTTAATCTAGATCTAGAGTACATACTAGCTATTACTACATAGAATTATTAATTAATTACATAAATATATATTGTACTCTATACTGGAAAGAATAATTTCCGTAATCTACTCTATATGTTATCATATAATATGTTACCGTTATCATATATAAATATATATATATATATATATATATATATATATATATATATATATATATATATATATATATATATATATATATATATATATATATATGTATACATATAAATATATATTGTGTTTTATAGCTTGTCTTGAGATAATAATAGATGTATTTTCATTTCCTTTTTGAATTTCGTTTTGGTACTTGAATCTCTTATTTTTTTTGGAATTTTGTTCCAAATTTCTGTTCCTTTATTTTTTACTGAACATTTTCCATAATTTGTCTATTTTTCCATAAAATCGACTTAGTTATAGCACACAAAAGACATGGAAATTTATCCAGACTAGAAGGCACTCGCATTTTCTTGTCAGAATAGTTAGCTTGCCTATTCAGGTAATCAGATTTAAACTGACCAATTTGCGATGGTCTGTAAGGGAGTTTCAGCACAGAGGACTTGGGACTAGTCTGAGGGAGTTTAGCTCCGTGGGAGGTCGAGTGTCAAGGGTGCAATGCAATGTCGAGGTTTGAGGGTAAAAAGTTGAGGGTCATATACTCCCTGGAGTTGGTAGTCACGCGACTTTCGTTAGCTGTCCTTAATGCTTTCCCAACACTATATCATGTATTCCAACTAAGTTAAAACATGGTTGGAACCATAGATATCTTATATACACTAGGGTGTAAAAAAAAGGTAATCGAACTTCAGCGCGCTATTATACGGAAAGATCATGCTTACAGCTTATATTTGGAAAGATCAGGCTTTTAGCTATTGAATGACATGCTTTTATACCAAGTGGAGAAAAAATAAGCATGTACGAGGCCGATCAAAAATGTTAGTCAAAATCGCATATTTTCACCTCTGTGCCTAATTAAAACAATGCATAACAAATTAATCACTAACGTGTCGTAGCTTAGCTAAGTTTATTCCTACTTAATAATAATTATGAATATGTGCGTAGATTAATGAAGTGAAATTCATCAACTTAAGTACCAAAGGGAGTTCATTTTCAATGGTTTTAGACCCAACTCTCAACGGTGAAAATATGCGATTCTGACTAACATTTTTTATCGGATTCGTATTTGCTCATTTTTTATTCATTTGGCATGAAGAAGATATCATTCAACAGCTAAAAGCATGATCTTTCCAAATGTGGTAAAATCTCGTTCATACGCAGAGTAATTCGGATACAATAGCGCGCTGAAGTTCGATTACCTTTTTTTTATACACCCTGTATAGGATATGTATATGTATATGTATATATATATATATATATATATATATATATATATATATATATATATATATATATATATATATATATATATATATATATATCCATATTTGTTTTAACCCAAGTTTTAACTTGGTGAAGAGTAAGAACTTGCGTGCGTGTTTGATGACAGCCACATGATCATCAGAGATTGGTGTAAAAGAAATACCGAAACAATGTTCGATGTTACAACGTGTAGGTACGATGGAGCAGATATATATTTGCGAACTAGTCGGATTATTCATCCTAAGTAAACTTGAGGTGAAGTTCGGAAAGAATCAAGTTGGTTTGTACAGAGATGATGGATTGGCAGTTTTGAAAGCTAGACAAGCCAGATCAGCCGATAAAGCTGGAAAGGGCTTCATGCTATTTTTAATAACATTGTTTTCAAGATAACAGCAGAGGTGAACCATCATGTTGTCAACTTCCTTGATCTCACTTTGGACAATTGAAAAACGAAACATTTTCACCTTTTAGGAAACCGAACAACGACCCACTCTATGTCGACAATATATCTAACCACCTACCTTCTATCATCAACCATATCCCTTCCTCAATCAATAAACGCGTCTCCTCGCTTTCTTCTGATCAAGCATCCTTTGCTTCTGCTGCACCATTTTACGAAGTTGCGCTTAAGCGCAGCAACTACGATGTACCTCGGCAATATCCGACCTGTGATAATTCCTCCATTTTGCCATCTATAACCGGAAACGTCGTAGAAACATCATTTGGTTT